CCTCCTGTCTCTGATCCCTGACCCGAAAAGTAGCTGCCTGCTGCCCCGCTGCCCTCTGGGCCCGGGCCGCGCGCTCCCGGGCCCTTGAGACCCCGGTAGGGATCCGTCAGGTTGAGTGCCAAGGTGGGTTTCAGGAGTTTGTAGTCGTGGAGAGACAGGCTGCCAGGGGTCCGACCGTATCCCGCCGCTGCGTATGAGTCGTCGTGATAGAAAGGCTGTTCCATTTTCGTGCACATCCGGGCGGTCTGGGAAAGGTCCCCCTGAAGGGCCGCCCCAGGCCTCGCTGCTGCGAGCGGCGAGCTGTCCTCGGCTGCGGCGGGACCCGGTGTCCGGTCGCGCGTCCTCGGGAACTGGAGACCGCCGGCGGCGGCCGGTTGGCAGCTGTGCGTAAAAGCGTTGCCGGGCTTCCAGACCTCGTCTCTGCCTCTGTGGTGCGCCCGCTTTCTCGGCGTCGCTTCCTTCAGTTCCCCGCTGCCTGCAGGATCCAAAACCGGCCCGGCCACCCTCAAGGTCCCCACCGCGCTGCCCCAGCCCCAAGCTTTTATACCGAGTTTGTCAGCTGCGGAAGTGCGCTCTGATTGGCCAACGCGGGAACCGGGCCCCCGCGGCCCCCTCCTAGAGCGTGGGGAAGGGGAGGAGGCGGCTCGCGTGGAAGCGCGTGTCCTTGTAAACAGCGGCCACGAGCCGGGTGGCTCTGCGCGGCTGCAGGGGGAGGGGCTGCAGCGATGGAGACGCCGAAGCAAAGGGATGTGGAGGGGCTGAGGCACACGGGTTAGGACTGCGGGAGTACACCTCGGTGACTATGAGAGCTTGGCACAGCAAGCAGGGAAGGGGGCGCCGCGGGATAAGCCGGAGAAGTCTCGAGAGACCCAGAGTGCCTGTAGCTGAGAACTGACAATATGCTAGAAGACCCCAAGCAAGCAGGAAAGGGAGGATCGGGAGGGATCTGTTAACATTTGACCCGGGGATTGACTGGAGGTCCCAGATACAAAGGGCTTGAAAGACTGGAATTGTCACAGGTTGGAGGAAGGGGCGCCTGTTGTGCAAGAACAGTAGGGTTCTAGAGGCCGTTGATGAGTCTGAGGGTTCTCCTATAGGCGGAAATGAGAAGGAAATGCGGGGAGGGCGACGTAGATATGCAAAGGTGAGAAAGGGTCCTGGGTGCACTGAGGTAATACAAGAGGTGGAGGATGGGAACATGTCACTGTGGCCACCTGAAGAATTCGGATGTAGAGTTAGAAAGGTCAGGGCACAGCTTCCGAGCTTTGAGATCTGCTGGGGAGGATGATCCCAGAGACAAGGGACCTGTACGAATGGGGCTGTACCTCGTGGGTGGTCCTTAGGCACCTGCATACCCTGTACTCCAAGCCCAAAGTCCTCCCTTAGTCACTCTGGGCTCACCCGATACCCTGTCAGCTCTTGGAGAGCCGACGGGGCAGGATAGCTGGGGCGCGGTCGCCCAACCTCACTCCCTTCCTTAGAAACAGACTAGGGAAAGAGAGCCGAGGCAGGAAGTGTGGCAACAGCCCCGAGGGGAAAAGAGCCCGGCCCTGTCTCGTCATTCTGAGCCTACAGGACGGTGCACCCTGCCCTGGGCCCTGCCAAATTCTGCTCCTGGGAAGAGGAACCGGGGCAAGCGACCCCCGAGGAAGTCACAGCCCAGCTACAAACGCCTCGAGTCACTCTCTGCTCTCACCCATCTAGTAATGGTTCAGCCTGCAGCCTCCGACGACTACTAAGCCTGGCAGCCCGAGGACTGTTCCATTGACCCTGGGGGGGGGAGATGCAGCCTGAGAACCGGGCCTCATCACCAAGGCAACAGGCCGGAGTCCGCGAATTGGATTCGGGGCGGGGCAACCCCCCTCAATTTCTCCCCAGCATCCATATTAGGGCACAGGAAGAGGTGGGACCAGTACAGTCTTGGGGCGGAGAACTAGGAGCCAGGAACTCAGGGTGGCAAGCCAGGTCCCAGGGCGCGCCCGGGCCCCCCAGACGGCTAGTCCGGACCAGCCTCGACTGCCATCCCCGAGGGCCTCCCGGCGGCCTGGCCCAGCCCGGCGGAACAGCTCTGGGGCTGAGTCCTGTCCCGCCCGGCTGGGTCGGACCCAGCCTGGCAGGTTCCCGCCTGCCCGCGGGCCTGGGTCGGACTTTGCCCCCGGCCCGTCAGGGAGCGGAGGGGGCGGGATGATGCCTTCAGGCATCCTCGGCGCCTGGGCAGGCTGGTACAGGGCTGCCTCCTCCCCTGGGTATGTGCCCTTCCCTTCTGCCAGAAGGTCTAGGGTCCCCTTTACCCACTTCCATTTCAGCTGGGGGTGCGTGAGGTACCTTCAACTACGCAGTACCTAAAAGGAGGTCGCCCCCGGCACTAAGACGTTTCCCTCATCTGAGGACCTTCTTTCCACCCAAGTCAGAAGGCTAAAATCTCAAAGGGGGAAAATGGAAGAACTCATAGCCCCTGCTCCAGGAAGGGCAAGGAGGAGGTCTAAATAGCAAGGTTTCCAGTCAGACAGGTGGAACTTCAAGTAGTATGGGAGCCGCCAGAGGAAGGGGTGAGAGTCTCATCTCTTCCTCTTTCCCAGGCTCAGGTCTCCGGTAAGACAGGAGTGTTCTTTAGAGAGAAGCTTACGGACGGAACAGGGGCAACGTAGTAGACTCGGAGCTCACCTAGTGTAGGACAGAGAAGGAAATCCAAAGAGGCAAGAGAGAAACAGCTGTGTAGGGGTAGGGGGGAAGTCCAGCAGAGTAGGGGCACTGGAGAGGAAGGAGCTGGGGACATCCCAGTCTTTGAAGGACCCTTGTGACCCTTCAGTGCTCCCTCCCTTCTTGCCCTTGCTTGAACGGCTCCCCTCCCCCACCACAGTCTCAAGGGAGATTCCAGAAGCCGCTGAGTCTGCGGGCATGCTGCCAGGCCTGTGTCTCCTGCCCATGCTAATAACTGCAGCTGACATGTGGCCTGGCCCGAGGGGGTGCTGGCCACAGCGTTTGGGGGCAGGGCAGGATGGAGGGCAACATGTTGGGAAGCCGACCTGCCTGTCCCACTGGCCAGAAGGCCACACTGACTCACCCATGCCACAGCTGAAGCTGGCTAGGCCCAAGGGAAGTCCTGGAGAGAGGCCAGGTCTGCCCAAAGAGGGTCGAAAGGGAAGACAGAGTGGGTGGCTGGGGGAAAGGAGGCAGGCCAAGGGGAGACGTCCAGAGAGACGGATGGGGCCAGGTTAGTCTTCTGCAGACATGGAGACTGGGAGATACTTAAGACAGGCAGACAGACTGTCTGAGAAATAGTAATTATTATTTTAATAGCTAACACTTAGATGGTTCTTACCCTGGACCAGACACTGTTCTAAAGTGGCTTACATAAAGTTGCTCATTGGCTACTTCCAATGATCCAGGCAATTGCATGCTGTGTGAATTTCAATTAAACATACAAGAAACTGAGGCATAGGGAATGAAGGGCCTTTAATAATGTCTCAGAGCTAGGAGGAGGAGAATGAGAGGTGGCTCCCTCTTGAACCCTGCTGTGCTGCTGTGCTGTAGATGGGCATTTATGGAGAACCAGCAGCACACAAAGCTCTAGTGGGCTTTTTGCAGAGGACCTATCTTTTTTCCCTCACTGGGAGAAGTAGAGTTGGGCACAGAAAGGTGACAGTGGCAACAATGCAGAGTGGGGTCTTCCTTCATACTTTGTGTATGGGTGTTTGAGCAGGGGGTGGGGAAGAGTCCAACCAGGGAGAGGGCAGGGCCAGCCAAGCTGGTACAGCCGGTTCCAGGCCCCTACCATTCTCACTCTTGAGGCCTGGGCACCACCTCCTCAAGTCGCCCTGCTGGCGCCAGGCCTGCCCAGTGTGGAGAGTGTGTGGAGAGTGTGAAGATAGCCCCCTCCCCCACGCCACCTGGGCTACAGAACAGCACCAGGCTGGCCCTTCCTTGCCAGGTTTTACCATATCTCAGGGCCTGGGCCCAGGGGCTACCACTCAGGATAAGGAGGAAGTTAACCCCCACCCACCCACCCACAGTCTCTCTGGGGCTTTTCGCCTTGGCACCAGGGACTTCTCCTTCTTATAAATAGTTTGGTGACCATTCTCCTCCCTGACCCCACTGGCCGGTGCCAGGGTTGCCACCAGGAAACTGGGCTGGGGGCTGCCTGTGAGTCAGCCAGTGGGCAGGCTGGGGCGGGAACCCACAAGTCACAGCACCTAGTCTCCTGTCCCTGCCCTTGGGTGTGAACTGGTGGCTGGGCCAGAAGAAACTAAGAATCAATCCCAGAGGTCTTCATCTTGGAAGCCCCAGCCAGCCAGCCAGCCCCCTCCCTCCCCTATTCTGTGGTTTTGGGGGTCCATTGGCCCTAATGTGGAGAGGAAGTTGCTTCGTTTTCTTGGAAACAGGCTATATCCTCACACTGATTCAACTGGGCCCAGAGGGAGTTTCCCACACAGCTGCCAAAGACTTGGGGGCCTGAGCTCCAAGGTGTCCCCTTTAAAAGAAATAACAGTAGAAAACAACGGATCCTGCCCAGCAGGGGAAGCCGGAGAATAGCAGGGAAGTAGGGTGATGTTGGGAGAGGAAGTGCCAGCATCTCTGGGCCCCACAGAACCTCAGCAAAGGGTGTGTGAGGGGAGTACAAGGGTGGTTGGCCTGTTAGGGCCTGTGTGAGTGCATGAGGCCTGCTCAGGGCTTCTGTCTACATGTTGATCCAAAGCTGCAGGGGGTGTGGGCCTATTTGTGAGAGTTCAGTTCTGCTTTGTGTGGATGGGGTGAGGGTGAGATTGTGTGTGAATGTGTGTGTGTGTGTGTGTGTGTGTGTGTTCTATTGGATGGGCCATATATGGCCCAATTCTGGGCATACATATAGCTAACATATTTATTTGTATCTGATTTGTGTGTGCAAGGTACATGTTTTGCTTTACATGTGTGAAATATCTGGATGTTTATATGTGATATATGGCTAGTATGGCCTGTACCTGCTTCTCCCCCCCTCCACACACACATACAGACCAGATATGGCTATACATATATTCCAAACCTAGATTGGGGGTATATTTTATGTCTGGTTTTTGTGGTCTATGTGTGCCTATGAGAGAGAGAAGCCTAGATGGTCTGTATGCTTTCTGTGTGCGCGGGTGCGTGTGTGTGTGTGTGTGTGTGTGCGCGCGCGCGCGCGCGCGCGCGAGTGTTATGTGGTCTGTGGCTGGGTTATGTGTACTCGAGAGAGCATGAGCCCTGTGTGGTTCATGAGCAGTCTGTGCGTGTCACTAGCCACAGCTTCTGTCAGGATATCTCCATGTTCATGTGTTCATCAGTGCTGGGCTGTGGCCTGTTTCTGACTCTCTGCACTAGGTATTATTGTTTGTCTAGACTGCATCTGAGAATGT